ACGGAATACAGTTACTCATATTTTGTATTTTAAATACGTAACGGCGGTACATGTATTCCGTTACTCCCCAACACTGGCCGAGGGTGGCACAATCAGTTATTTAGAGGGCAATTACTTTTTCAGACAGAACCAGATAGATTTGGATAGCTTTTGTTCCTTAAGAAATGAAAGGACCATTTAAAAACTGCATTTTGTATTTGTACTTGCATTGTCGTTGATACTGAAATTAGTTTGATGATCTTAAACAAATACTTAAAAAGAAATTAAGAGGGAGCAAAAATATTTTCACAGCACTGTATCTGTTTTTTAGTGTAAGCCAATCATGTCGGCACCATTGCAATGCAGTCCTTTCCCAGGAAATTATTCTAAAATATAATGTACATTTTGTACAGTTATGTTAAAAAAATTATATATTGCGTTTGTGCCCCATATGTTTTTCAGATATTTAAATCTGGTCTTATGTTTAAATATCATGCCACTGAGAGTGAAACAAAAGCAAATTAACATGCTGTCCTTTGACCTCAAAAGTCTGATCCCTGCTGTTAACACCATGCTCATTACCTGAAACTTTGGCCATGTTTAATATGGACATTACCACTGTCATACATACATATGATAGCAAAGGAAATGAAAACTAGTGATGTGGGATACCACTGATTTCCTTTCCAATTAGATATTAAGTAAAATTCAGGGTAGTATCTGATACCGATACTTTGTACAAAAACTCAATGTGTTATTGTATTTCAAATTATAGCTTCATAATGATTACAGCACATCAAACTATTTGTTCTTATTGTTAAATTATGAAGAATTATTATAGAAATTTAAAAAAAACTGAAGTTGTGTGTTTATTGACGCTATCTGTGTGTATATCTTGTCATTTAACATGTATATACTTGCCTGGATATTTCAACAAAAATATTCAACATTCATACTTTCCCTCATTCACAGTTGTGCTGTGCCACTACAAATTTTGATATCGATACAATCAGTACCAATAATTTAAAAGTATTAGGGCAGCTAACTGGGGGAGAGTAGTGTGCCACGACTTATGAGATGAATTCTCAATTTGCAAATTCTGAACACGTTTTAATCATCACTGCGATCGTTACTTTCCACAATAATTAGTTAACACAAAAAAACACACCTTTCACCTTTTCATGTGTTTTGAAACTGAGCTTTTGGAGACCTGGAATTTAAAATTTTCTGTCTCTAAAGCACACACAAAAAAAGATTCGGACATTTTTCATGTCATGTTTGAGGTGCATGTGCATGTTTGAGGTTTACTTTTTCCAAAGAAATAATTAACACATCGATCCGCACACCTCTAATGAAAACTGTACTTGAATTGTATTAGTTTTTCTCAATGTTCAAATAAAATTGTACTGTGTATAAATATATGTAATCCCGCCCCTCAAAAAAAGTTACCTGCTGAGTGCTATTCTATTAAGAAAAGTGAGACATACAGACTACAGACATTACGGAGATCAAAGTGTTTGATCTCTGTATCTGTATGTCTTCTCAACTACCAGACTGAGGTAAGTGACAACAGGGTAAACTGACTGTCCTTCGTCTACAGACCTCGCTGCATGTGTCGTAGGAGGATAATGTTAAAGCTCACAAATGGCAATAGCGAAGATTAACTAAAGGTAAAATTAGAGAGTGGACTATTCCTGTACTTTGACGAATTCCCCGGCATGGCTAAAATGAAGTGGAGTGAGAAAATATATCTTCCATTATTGTAGTTATGAGACAACTGAAGGCCTCGAGAGTAACGCGGGGTTTGGATGTAACATAACTAACAAGTTAGCAAGCTAACTCCGAAAACTAAAAGGAGAAGCGTGTATGCCTTTTTATTTTCAGAAATATTAAACGAGAAACCGAAAATTCAAATGCTAACAGACAAACATTAGCTTTGCTTAATGCTAACATTAGCCGTCATTACGTTCACGTGTTTAGCTGACGCCATTTCGCGGTTATAATGGAGCCGTGCTACACGCGTGACCCGTGGCGGACGTCGTGGCCTTTTTACGTTTGGACGACTTCTATAGACACCCAACCCATGGCTTCTTATCAAACATCGTGGCGTGACTTTCCACGCATGTTTTTTCACGAGGCACCTCATTACTCTGCGGGTGTGTGGGCAGAAAGCAGTTTTTACAATCCGGATTTTAAAAGACCCAGTCCACGTAGGTATGAAATCATGGGTAAAAGTAGTCCCAATTTATGTCCGACCGCAATGATATTATTCTGTGTCCAGGCTTTTACTCAGTAAAGAGTGTTCTGTACCGCAAACTTGACCAGTAACTACATTTTACTAGTTTGTCATTTGTTTGTCTTAACGTCGGTTTCTGCATCAACAGAGGAGAGCAGGAAGTTCTTTCTGGACAGGTATGTAACCACGACAGTTTTCTGTGTCCAGCTAAATAACCTGAACCAAAAAAAGGAGACGTGGTTCTGCTTTCAGGTCTGTGTATGATTTGGTGGCTGCTTATCCGCAACTGGCCTTAACTGACTCCAAGCTGCTGGGCTGGTATCTGCGTTTGTCACCCGAGGACAGAAAGCTCATACAGGGTATGTGTCGGTTCCCCCAACCACAGCTGTCCACAACTGGCCCTCCCTTTGACCAGGGTTGACGCAGCACTAGTCTTTGCAATCCGTGAAACATACTGTGACTTAATGGTTGATGAAAACTGCAGTAACTTTTTAAAACTCAAACAGTGAAAAAAAAAAAAAAAAAAAAAAGTCAGTAGCTTGTTGCAGTGGACTCCGGAAAGTTGAAAGTTATTTTGCACGTTTAGCGTTAACAGTAGCTACTGGATTGAATTTGTACCACCTCAACAAAAATTGTGGTTGAATAGGAAAAAAGTGACCTGTCTTTTCCTGACCTTTCGTCCTTGGGGAATAACATAAAGAGGTCAAGAAAGATGTGAAAGAGAATGTATTAGGACTTATAGTACTGTGTATGTCTTTGCCACACCACACCATATTTTGCTTTCAATGCGCCAGTTTCTTGTTATTGCCAATGTGATTTTGGGCAGCAGACTTCCAGGCTTTTTGAATGCCTGTCTTTTTGAAAATGTTTTATTCCCCTAACTATAAGCTTTATCAAAAGAAAAGTTTTAAGCCAGTCTTGAAAGTAGGGAGTGTGTCTGTCAGGATTCAAACTGGGAACTGGTTTCAGAGAAGAGGAGCCTGAAAGCTGAAGGCTATGCAGGTTGAAAGCAAAGTGCTGTGATGGGGTAAAATGCCCCTACTAGGTCTTTCAGATAAGATGGGGCCTGAATATTCAAGATCTGGTATGTGAGGTGGATTTTAAATGCAATTCTGGATTTAAGAGGTTGCCATGAAAAGATGCTAATATAGGGGAAATGTACTCTCTCTTTCTAGTCCCAGTACTCTTGCTGCAGCATTTTGGATTAAGTGAAGCCTTTTTGGGAGCATTTGACCTGATAATAATGAATTACAATAGCCCAGCCTAGCTGTAATGAACATACGAACTAGTTTTTCAACATCACTCTGAGACTGGATGCTTCCAATGTTAAGAGATTATGCAGATGAAAGAAAACATTCCTACATATTTTTTATGCATGTTGAAGGACATATCTTTATGCCCTCATCAGGCTTCATAGATAAATAAAGCTGCAAATCATCTGCATAGCAATGAAAATGTATTCTGTTTTTTAATAATGTTACTTAAGGGACGTATATGTCATGCTAATAGTACTGGTCCCAGCACCGAACCCTGTGGAACTCTACGATTAACTTTCATATGTGAAGACGGCTCTCCATTTACATAAAGCATTGGTATCTATCAGATGTAATTCAGAATATTTCCTTTATATATCAGTGGTGTGTTCTAATCACTGCAGTAAAATACTGTGGTTGGTGCTATTGAATGCTACACTGAAGTCTAACAGGCGAGGCAGTCCACTATGACGGGCCATGAAAAGATCATTTGTTAACTTTGCTAGTGTTGTTTCTGTGCTATGATGCACTGTGAATCCAGAACGAAACCATTCAAATAAAACCATTCCTTTGGAATTTAGTTAACTGTTTAGCAGTAATTCTTTCAAGACTTTTTAAGATAAAAATGGAGGTTAGAAATTGGTCTGTAGTTGGCTAAAATGCTGAATTGAGTAAAAGCTTTTTAATTAGTGGTTTCATTGCAGCTAAAGTGAAAACCCGTGATACACATCCTGTTAATAGAAACTGATCATATTTAAAATTTAATAATTAATTAATAGTAGAACTGAAGAGTTGTGTTGGAATGGAGTCTAAAAGACACAGTGGTTTAGGAAAAAATGAATTAATGAAGTTGTTGCATGTTCTTTTTATCTAAGGTAAAAGAGGGTTTCAGTCCCAATCCAGGTTTTCCCATTCCAGAGAGATGATGCTAACCAGCAGTACTAGTGGTATTTGTAAAAGAGAATGTGCTTCTGTCTGATTGGTCAAAACCTGTTGAGAAGTGCGGTGGTTTAGACTTTAGCCCAGGGATGGGCAATTCCAGGCCTCGAAGGCCGGTGTCCTGCGGGTTTTAGATCTCACCTTGGGTCAACACACCTGAATCACATGATTAGTTTGTTACCAGGCCTCTGGAGAACTTCAGGACATGTTGAGGAGCTAATTTAGCCATTTAAATCAGCTGTGTTGGTTCAAGGACACATCTAAAACCTGCAGGGACACCAGCCCTCGAGGCCTGGAGTTGCCCACCCCTGCTTTAGCCCATTCTTCTCCTCCATTGGGTGCAGCTTCACCTAGGGATGGCCACACACACACACACACACACACACTTTTCCCTGACCTGTTACCCAGTTTCATGCGCCTAAGGTACCATCTTACTGTGAGCGCTACTGTTTCTCGACCTTGCTCCGGTTCACTCCCGCATTCCTGCACAGAGCCTTCCACAAAGGCTACACAAACAACCCTTGATCATGGGAATCTATAACTTTTCTTCTTATTTTATTTGGAGTGCTTAGTATGCAATTAACCATTAAAGTGATCTAAAATGAATTGCAGTCCCTATATCATTTGCCAGCACTGGTTTTGTAAAGCAAACTTTTCTAGTCCTCATAAAGTTAACTCGGAAAGGTCAGAGAGAAACTGTTAAATTAAGTTAAAGTAAGCAGCTACCCCAGTTGCTGTACGAATATTTTTTTTTCTTTAATAGTTGAAACGAAAAAAAAAAAGGTTTAAATAATGACACTTAGCCAAAACAAGCAAACTTAATCTGGAAATAACTAATCAAATTACAAATGAAAATACAGAACTTTGATATCTGCTGTCAGTACATGATTGGCTAATATGTTTCCTGTTTCAACTGGGGAGTCGGGGGAGGGCAACCATTCAGAGCAAATGCCAGTTAACCTAACAAAGTTGTTCTGAGAGAACCATACAGACACGAGAAGAGCATCCAAACTCCCTCTAGATTTGTAACATTTGTAACAAAAAATATCACCTAGAGTTGTCACATTGATGAGCAAATTAAATAACTGGTAGAACAGTTATAAGTTTCAGCATTTTTGTGTATAGGTGTATGCACATTTTCATGCATTGAAAATGAATTTTAGTTACCTTATCACGTTTTTCTTTTCCCTAGAAGGAGGAGGGTTTCATCAGTTCCTGCAAAGACATCCTGCCTTAGAAATACATAGGCATCACGTTCATGTGAAGGGTAAGTATGTTATAGTACTAAAATCTTGCATTAGGTGTGCTAATGACTAAATTTATTTTTAAATTTACAGATAGGAGCAGTCCTGCCCAGACAGCTGTGACAGCCAGCCAGCACATGTATGTGTTACTGTGAAGACACATATCAGACAAGTTCTATCACTTCACTAAAATTCATGTTCTTTACAGGTTTACAACTGCAGGAACAGAGATGGCTGGATGTGGTAATATAATATAGATAGATAGATCTATCATCTCATACACTTGAGGCAGAAAACAGAAACCCCTTTAAAAGCATTAATCAGATTGTTTTGGACATTGTGCTATTGGTATTGGTGGATAGTTCTGGGACTCTGCCAATTAAAAAACATAACTAATATTCATTCTCAGGACCTCTTCCAAAATAGACGGTATTTTCAGCTCCTGTCCATTAGCTGTCTACCTGTTTTACTTTATTTTTACCTACTTTTTGCTTTAATTTTTTTTAAATAAAAATTTACAAAATGAATATTTAACATGCCTGTTAGTGGCCTTGTGCTTTGTCAACGTTTGGTTGGTGTCAGCACAGTAAATGGATACGGATTCGAGCACATTCAGCTGTCACTAATGCTGCTGGTGCACTCACCTTCTGGCTTCACTGGATGGCTCTGACTTAGACAGATAATAGCCCAACTCGAAGGTGTGATTTCCAACCCTCTACCCATTTTATTCTCTCATTCCAACTTCTGTTGGGTTCCTCAGCTGCTCAGCCATGGAATTGGAAACCAATTCCACAAAGCTCTCTACACACTGTTCATGAGCTAATCTGAAGACAACATGAAATTTGGAGGTCTGTAGCAACTGACTGTAGAAAATTGGCAACCTCTGTGCGCCTCACCTGCTGACCCCACTCTGTAATTTTGTGTGGCCTATCACTTTGTGGCTGAGTTGCTGAGAAGTGCAATGACTTGCACTTCTTTATAATACAGCTAACAGCTGACTGTGGAATATTTAGTATTGAGGACATTTCATGACTGGACTTATTGCAGAGGTGGCATCCTATCACAGTGCCACACTGGAAATCACCGAGCTCCTGAGAGTGACACATTCTTTCACAAGTGTTTGTAGAAGCAGTCTGCACTCCTAGATGCTCGATGTTCTACGCCTGTGGCCATAGAAGTTATTGGATATGCTCAAAACGTTTTGTTTTTTTTTTCTTTCAGGCCTGCCATCAAAAGCTCTCTCGCTCTCTCTCTCTCGTACTCTCTCTCTCTCTTGCTCTTTCTTTTTATTTTACAACTGAATAACACTTAATAGATATTAAAATATCTATTAATTTAGACAGGATTTTATCTTCTGTGTTAAATCCATTGCCAAGAATCAAAATGTAACATGCATGTCTTTGGGTTGTGGAAAGAACCCAAAAGAAACCCACACAGGCACATGCAGACCATGCAAATGGACCAAGAGAAGTTAGTTATCTAAAAACGATAATCGTGCTAAAAGCGGGCCACAGTTGCACAGAAAGATGACTTTGAAGAGAAGATCTTTAAATCTGGAATCGTTTTTTTAATTAGTGAAGTCCTGTAACTTTCGGATAATTCCTGGTATAAGTTCAGGTTACTGATCCTGCGGTTGGAGATATCCCACTGTGCGTGTCAGACAGGCAATGACAACAAAATTGTAGTAAAAATAAATTTCACAATACGTCATAGTATAGAACAAGGCTTATTTCTTGTCTCAAACTGTCAAATTTAATGAGTATTAATTGAAGATTACAGAGTCTAGAGACCAAGTTCCATTCACATACTTTCAATCTTGTAACAGTTCCATTTGTTTGCTTTTTATTCAAGGAACACCCAGCACTCACCTGGACTTGGAGATGCTCCCCAGTAGGGAGAATTTAACTTTGCTTGGCTGTAACAGGAACGAGCATCAAGAAAAGCTGTTTGGGCAGGCTCACATGCCTGGTGGCTTCCGTGCAGCTTGCAGCAGCCCCGTCACACAAAGAACAAATGATCAGAAGGCCTGCTATAGACCTGTAAGTGTGTTTAAAGAGCTTTAGTTTGTGTAGTCCAAGTTGTATTTTTTAAAAGACAAATCACTGTTGTTATTTGAAAGGGACTGCCACTGTGCCAGCTGAATGAAGATGGGTGCTCATTTCAAACGGGCAGCTGTGTAGCTGTGTGCAAGGAACCAGCCGGCCTGGTGAGCGTTTCTCTGGACACGGACCTCGAGGTATGTCGACAGAGGAGAAAGCCTGAGCCCTGGAACCAGATTTCAGGGCTACAAGGCCAGAGTGCAAACTTCAGTCCATCACAGTAAGTATGCATCTTATTTCACTGAGTCCTAGGGCAGTGTTTTTATTGAGTAGGTGTGAGTCATGTCAGGACCTGGTCCTGTCCAAACTCTTTATACTTGAGACGTTCTTGGATCCTGTTCAGTAATGTTGCTACGGTATGCTGAGCTCTACTAATCGCTGAGCATTGTTGTTATGTGTTGCATCCTTTTCCCAATGTTGCTCCATCTTCAGCCTTGGTGAGGCTCTTACTGCTTCTGTCTCTCTGGTGTACCTTTTCGAGCTGCTAGCCAAGGCTGGCTTGGTTTAGCAGTTTTTAAGGCCACAGGTGTGGACAGTTCTTAGGCCCCGCTTTTTACATTGCGCCTTCCTGCAGTTCCGACAGTTAGCTTACTTCCCTTCATGCTCCATCTCCACTGAGGACACTGTTCTTTGTGGCTGTTCATCATAGGATGGACTAGAATAGCCCTTTATTGTCAATGTATATGTAAAATGAAATTATGGGTGTTCCACACCAACTCTGCAGGAATAAAATAAGACATTAGGAATAAATAACAAACAGGAGAAATGTAGACAAACTAGAGGAACGTATAGAAAAGAAGCAATGACACATATTGGAGAACAAAGTTCTTGGAAACAGTGCAAAGGACTTTGTCTGAGTATAGATTGTATGCGAGTGGCCTGAGTGATGAGGGTTACTCAGACTGTGGCTCAGATTGGTGAGGTGAGTGGGGGTAGTATTTGTTAACAGTCCGACTGGCCCAGGTGAAGAAGCTGTTAGTGAGTCTGGAGGTGTGGGACCTGATTGACCTGAGGTGCCGACCAGACGGTTCACACAGGTGGTGAACGGGTGCAAGGAGTCACCTGTGAGGGCCCTGGTTTTCCTGAGACAGAAGGATCTGGCGGTGGCCTGCAGGGGTGGCAGAGGGTAGCCAGTGACTTTTTTTGGGCGGTATTAATTACCGTATAGCCAAACACATTGTGACAGTGGCCATGGACCATAATGCTGCATTCACATCTTCTGGTAGACTTTCATCAGGTACTTTACGTAGGCTTGGTAATCAGCCACTGAGGATCCAGGTTTCCAGCTTAGTCATAAACTTCAGGTCAGCTGCTCTTGCATTCAACAGCAACCCACCAGTTGTTCTTAGAGCTTGGTAACCAATCTCGTAGGGCGGGGATGTTGATTTCTCAACCCTTGAGCTGATGTCCTGGGTTCCCTTTGCTGTAGCATTTGTTTTTGTACCTCATCAACCTCTAGTTGTGATAGCAGTTGCTTCTTCTGGATGTTGGAACATTGAGCTACTAGTCTCACCCTTAGTCTAGATGTTTGGTGTTACCAAAGCCATAAGTTCCACATCCTCTTCATGTAACCCCTTCCCCTGGGATTACATGCATGGTAGCATTAAAACAGCTATTCAACACCTCACACAGACCTTGTTAATATGAGCAACAGACAAGCCAGTATGGCTTGTTATCTGTAGCACATACACATTAGGTAGCCTTGGGTAGCATGGAGGGCCTAGCCTACCCTTTACTGGATTTGAACCCCTGACCGGCAAGAAGGCATTCTAAACCATGATTTTGCCACATAAGTGCAAATGACAGTGCATACCTGTTACCAAAGGCACAGAGGCTGGTGAATACCTGCCTGCTGCTCTCACTGATGTAACTCTAGACTGGAGCAGAGTCCAGCCCCTCTGAGGAGACTAGTTTCAGACCCAATATGTCAGTTCAGGTGAACCAGCTACATCTACTCTTTCTTTCTGTCAACCTCGTGCATCACTTCAGTTTCCTTCCATACCAGACAGATGACATTCCCTTTTCCCATGGCCAGCTTGAGTAATCAAATTGCAAGGGACCTGCCTTTGACAGCGACCTGAAGCACCTTGCACCGGACCCCTACGCCGCCTCTGGCGGATGGTGGGCCCACAGGATGTGTGTTGCATGTCTAAAATCCATGTTGCTGCTGACAGTGTCCAGCTTTTTGACTTCAGCTTTGGTGCTCCTGTCTGTGTCTACGGACATCTACTTTAAACCAACTGTGAATTTAAATTATCCCCAACTACAGAGTGAATGAATTTATTTTAGACATTGGAAAGAAATGTAAAAATTTAGTTTTCTAAATCTGCAGCATATTCAGTGTCGTGCATATGTTGCCCCCTTCCTGATTTTCTATTATTTGTGTGTTTGTCAAACTTAAATATTTGAAATCATCAAACAAAGACATTAGATTAGATATTAGACCAAAATAACCCAAGTAAACACAAAATGCAATTTCCATAGACCAAACTCTTACGCCACTCTAATTATATTTACAAGAACTTGGTTTCTATAACAGCACTACCTGTTAGACTGAGAGTAATGAGTAACATTATTTGATGTTACAGGTCAGAATGGCCAATGGCTACCAAAGAGTCTCTCCTAGACTGCAGCAGTACTGACAGGATTCAGATGATTGATCCACAGTACACCGATGGAAGCATTATGCAGGCAGTGGAGCCAGAACAGGGTAAGTTTCCTCTGTGCCAAGCTGAAGAAAACGCCACAAAACATATATGCAGAGATGAGGATATGCATGGTACTGACCATACTGCATCAACTCACTTAACCTTTGAAGATCAAAGCGACACCTTCCATAGCCTCATGGAGGATGATAAGAGCATCCTTGTCTGTCTGGCTAATGACAGTCTGAAAGAACAAAACCGGAGCGGTCACTCGTGTCCAGTCACCACTAATAATGATGTTACAGCAGAAGCCAGCACTGAGACCTTGAGGTCATATGAGTCTGCCACCAAGGTAAAAAGTGTAGATAAGCACACCTCCCCTATGCCCTGCGTCCCCACCTGTGATGCGATGATTGGCACTGAGGTGGTGCAGTGCCTGTCAGTCTTTACTCAAACTGAGGACCTGGAAACAGCTGACAAACACATTAACACTGAAGTACGCATGGCAGATCTGGACTATCTCGCCAAGGTAAGATTGGAACCCAAACAGCTGTCATTCATAGAAGCTCCAGCAAAACATTTTTAAATAGTTTATTAATATTTCAGGAATTTCTCAAACTGAAGAAAACACAGGGAGGGAAAGAGAAAACAAAAAGGTGACATATACGCACGCATGACCTGTTTATGCATGACCTGTATAGTTTAATGTGAGTGTGTGTAAACCCCCCCCCTCTCTCTTGTTGGCGGCAAGTTGAATAAAGAGTGTGAGTGTATGGACCGTGCTCAGCAAGCAGAGCTAGCCCTCCTGGCACTGCAGTACAGCATATGCAGACAGCACTGCTGGAGACTATACTACACCTCTACTGAGGGAAACCAGCTCACCCTAGTGTAAGTATGCACCAAGTTACAATATGTGTCTGAGCCTATAAGCCTCTGTCTGAGACAATAGTGTTTGTCCCGAATCTCACTGTAGGGCAAAGAATCCTCCTTCAAACATTATACGTGCTCTCCAAAAACTGGAGTTGGACTATAATGAGATGAAGAGTAAGATTCAGGTAGGGCTTCCCCTGCAGCAACTGAAGCCTTTATCTGTTGACTCTGGGGAGATACTCACAGGATCAAGTTACATCCCTGCACAGGTAAACATTAGGGGTGCAACAATACACAAAATTCATGGTTCGGTTCGATACTTTGGTGTCACGGTTCGATATTTTTTCAAAACAAAAAAATGTTCATGCCTTTTCAATTTGTCATTTATTAAAATTATAAATATATATTTTAACTCAAAAGTACAGTTTTTAAATTTAATGTTTCTGAAACAACAAAATAATAAAAAATAAAAAAAATCTATCTGATCGAGAAATCACTCCTCTTTGGAAAAGAGAGTTTATTACAGAGAAATGGCTCTTTCCAAAATAAAAGCTATACTATACACTTCTTCTGGGCTATATTCTCAGCAGCATATTAAACATATCAGGTTGAAGGCCTGAGGAGAATAAGGAGAATTATGTGCTAACGGCTGTCTAAATGACTCGTAAAGTTTGTAGCATGCGTGCTTGTTGTTTTGTCTGCTTCCACTTGTCTTTGCACTAGGATGATGTCGGTGTAAATGTGTAGTCATATTTGTTGTGTTCCCACTAGTGCTGTCAGCGTAAATCTTGTTAAAATGACATTAACGCCATAACGCGGCAAATCTCCATTAACGAGCTACCGCGGATCACCCCGTGCGTGGGGCTGGACGACGTTAACGAGCTAACTGCGCTAACGCACTAGTTCCCACCAATTGAGCATTGCGTGGCACATCTGACATACTGTTTTACTTTAGTCCATGACACGCTTACCATCAGGGTCATACTTCACATGAAAACCAAACTAGTTCCAAAGGCCAGATCTGAATGAGGGTGGGGGAGGTTCAATTTCGGGTAGCGTTGAGGCAGTTGCCATGTTGCAACGAGCTTAGCTTCTGTCTTGCTAGCTTGCGCTGCGCTCAGTGGACCTGCGCTCGACAGTGCAGCCTAGGCGGAGTAGTCGAACGCAGATCCACTGAGCACTCAACACAGACAGCATCGTCAGAAGAAAAGTAGATAAAATAAATTTAAAAATGTTGTATTGTTTGATACATATGCGTACCGAACTGAAAGCACTGTATCGAATGGTTCAATATCGATACATGTTTACTAGGGGTGCAACAATACATCTGCCAGCTCTGTGGTGGGGCTGGGTGATGACTTGGACTTTATTTGGAAATAAATTCTTTTTCTGTCTTCCTGTCTAGATCATTTGTGAAGTTTTGGGAGAAATCTCATCTTGGTACATTAAAACACACGTGCACGCGCACACACGCTATCATTTTGCTATCTTAGTGAGGACATCTAATTGACAGAATGCTTTCCCTAGCTGCTTACCCTAAACATCAAAAATGAATGCCTAAACCTAACCATAACCTAATTGTAACCCTGACACTAAAACTGCATTTTGAGTCTCAAAAATGCCTTCAAACTTGTGGGGACGGGCACTTTTGTCTTCATAAAGTGACTGTGGCTTCCCACAAGTATAGTATCATATCAATTTTGGGGCCCCACAAAGAGGTCTAAACAGGTACACACACTTGCACCGCGTTCCAAATTATTATGCAAATTGTGTTTAAGTGTCATAAAGATTAAATAAGTTGTTTTTCAATTAAACCCATGGATGGAATTGTGTCTCAGGGCTCTTTGGATGACTGAAATCAATCTTGGACACCTATGATCATTAGTTTGCCAGGTGAGCCCAATTACAGGAAAAACTACTAAAGAAGGATGTTCCACATTATTAAGAATGCCTTGGACACGTAATGAAAACCTTAGATATTTCACGAGAACTTAAGCGTGATCACCATAATGTAAGAGATTTGTGGCTGAGTCAGAGCACACATGGGTTTGTGCAGATAAAGGCACAATGAGGAAGGTTTCTGCCAGACAAATGCATCAGATTAAGAGAGCAGCTGCTAACAAAGCAGCAAACAGATATTTGAAGCTGCTGGTGCCTCTGGAGCCCTGCAAACATCAAGGTGTAGGATCCTCCAGAGACTTGCAGTTGTGAATAAACCTTATATTTGGCCACCCCTAACCAATGCTCACAAGCAGAAACTGCTGCAGTGGGCCCAGAACTACATGAAGACTAATTTTCAAACAGTCCTGTTCATTGATGAGTGCAATGCAACCCTGGATAGTCCAGATGGATGCAGTGGTGGATGGTTGGTGGACAGCCACCATGTCTCAACAGGGCTGCAACGTCAGCAAGGACGTGGTGGAGTCATGTTTTGAATCCTGGAGAGAGAGCTCATTGGCCTTTTTAGGGTCCCTGAAGGTGTGAAAATGACCTCTGCAAAGTATGTGGAGTTTTTCTGACTGACCACTTTCTTCCATGGTAGAAAGAGAAGAACGGTGCCTTCTGCAACAAAACCATCTTCATGCAAGGCAATGCACCATCTTATGCTACGGCGAACACCTCTGCATCATTGGCTGCTATCGGCATAAAAGGAGAGAAACTCACGGTGTGGTCCCCATTCTTCCCTGACCTCAATCCTACTGAGAACCTTTGGAGCATCCTCAAACAAAAAAAATAAGAGTGTGGGAGGCAGTTCACATCCAAACAGCAGCTCTGGGAGGCTATTCTGACATCCTGCAAAGACATTCAAGAAGAAACTTTCCAAAAACTCACAAGTTGCATGGATGCAAGAATTGTAAAACTACTATCAAATAAGGGGTCCTATGTTAATATGTAGCTTTGACCTGTTCAGATGTTTTTGATTGAAATAGCTTTTGACTTCAGTAAAATTGATCTACTAATGCTGCAAATTCAACAAATGACCATTTTCAATTCTCTACTATCTATAAAATGTTTTAAAACTGTGTGTAATAATTTGGAACAGTGCATTTTCAGTTATTTTTGAAAAACCTACTGTTTTCATTGGCAGTTTTGAGTAACATTTGAGTTATACTCTAATGGTTGATGACTCGAAAATTATGCTGACTGTCATTTGAATCGACTATTTAGGAAAATCAGAGAAAAATATCATTTGCATAATTGGAACACGGTGTAGTTGTATGTTATTTTGGTTCAGTTATTGAGTAGGTCAGACCCCCCAAATAATGACATGTTTTCTAATCCAAAGCAGCTCCCAGGAGAAGCTGGATGCACCAAGTGGAGATGGTGGACGTCCTGATGCTCAAGGCGGAAAGGTTCTTCACATATTTGTTTTTCACGTCCTTTTTTTCAGCTTGGTGTTTTTGTTTTTGTGTGGGTGGGTGTTTTTTTGTTTGTTTGTTTGTTTTTTAAATAATTGCTGTTTTTATTTCCTGTATTTGGGCCTCATTACCATGACCAGGTCAACTTTTTTTTCCCTCTCTTTTCTCAGGTTGGTCAGGAAAAGGAAAAACGGCTCAAAAATAAAAATGAGAGTACAAGGAGAGCTGCTACCCTCATCCCTCAAGATGGAGGTTTGAACCATAATGTGCAGAAGTGTCTGTAACCAATTTATGAATACTGGTATCTGAGGAATTCTTTTTGTGGACAGGGTCTGCGGGTCAAGAGGTGAACACAGGTGAGAAATGGTATGATGCTGAGGAAGAGCTGGAGCTTCCAGAAGATGATGTAGCTACTGCTGTGAGACAGGACCCCACACCGGTGACGGCACATCTGTCTGATGGTGAGAGAGAGCGAACAGTGCATTAGGGCTGAACATTTGGAGAATTAAAATTCTTCTAAGTAGCCGCAGTTTACTTGTTTTCATTCCAGAATCAGCCAGTCAGGAGGCCATGAGCTCCGTACTGTATGTTTCCAAGCTGCCCAGCAATGTGACAGAGGTGAACATTTACTCATCAATGTTGTTTGAGTAGTCATTTAAAATTTATTGGTTTTTTTGTTTTTTTTTGTTGTTGTTGTTGTTGTTTTTCCATTGGAAATTTTAATTGACCAGTTAAATTGTGTAATGATCCTTTTATGTGAAACCATTGTACTGCAGTGTGGTCGCCAGCAGAGGGCAGTGTAGACTTTAATTGAAACTTTGTCTTGGTCAGAGTGACATGATGCTTCTCTTTGACAAATACCATCCCACTGAAGTCAGCATTTCTGCTTTAAAGGATTTGAGGTGAGGTCCTTTTTTCCCCACTATTCAGCCTTATGCTTGTTTTATTAAGTAGTCACACATTCAGGTTTTTATATCAATTCTTTCCTTAAGGAAAACATTATTATGGGCCCTGTTTCCCTGTGCTTTTGGCTTTAAATCGTTAATGGAGACCAAAATGTTTGGAGTGACTCCAATCCTGAGTATGAAATGCTTTAACCACATCAAAGTAAACTTGCGTGTGTTTGGCTGATTCCAGGTGATCTGTGATATTATCCTGTCATATTTTTTTGTGTACTTCTGTCAACACATTACTTTACCCTTGTGTCCACTCCACCTGCAGCAGGTCTGTTTACTCTTGGGCCACCAGTTTTCTTTAGGGAATTATGTTTTGCCATGTGGGATTTCTATTCTTGTTAGACTGGCAGTATTCACCCTGCTCCATGTAATCGCTGGAGTCACAGTGGTGTGCAAAGTGATACAGTAAATCATCTACCTGGTCAAAAGCAGATGTTAATGTATTGCTTGTAATAATGTAAAAGTCCAGTAGCAATGTCATGCTAGTGTTTATCCTACATTAAATGACACTGAGATTAGAATTAAGTCCTGGGCTGTAATTTTATACAAAACTGTAAAATGTTACATTTCTACTCAATTCTAGAAGGTTTACTTTTTTATGTGTGGTTTTAGTAGCAAATTCTAATGCTTCACAAATCAGCACACGCATGCCAGTTTAACAACTCGCTATGTTCTGAAGATTTGCCATAGTTATGTTAAGTGGCCCCCAGTCTGCTGAGACTGCAGTGAAAGAGCTAAATGGATGCAGAATGCAAGGTCGCACTTTACATTTGGAGCACATCAGCAGACCCACGAACAGCAGCCAGAACTCTGCCTCTGAACCTGATTCCTCACAGGACGCTGCCAAACCACAAACCTCCAAGACTGACTCCAGCAGCACTGAGGTGAGCAGACGAGCATTAGGTGTCCTAAAACAATCAAACTTTAAGTGTGCATTCAGATCTTTGTTAGAAGCAGAACATACAGTCCCGATCAAAAGTTTAAGACCACTTGAAAAATGGGGGGGGGGAAATCTGATTTTGCATGGTTGGATCTTAACAATGGTGTTTTTTTTTTTTGTTTTTTTTTTTGTTTGTTTTTTTGTTTTTTTTTCTTCCTTGAGCATGCAATTTATTGAAAACACTTAAACTGAAACGGGCTGTTTTAAAGCTGAGCAAAAGTTTAGGACCA